TATAATGAGGATGAGGGAGAACACAGTAATGATAAGAGAATACCTGAAAAATGACGGTGAAGAAGCACTGTTTCAAAATAATACCCAAAACTGCAATGTCAATTGCTTTTATCACCAGCATATTAGAAAAACAATCACTGCATGTGCATATGTGTGAGTACATGTGCATGTAAATGCCAATGTACTTTATCAAACATGAGAACAAACAGCATTCATACCTGTGTCTGTATCAAAACTCACTGTCGCGTGAAACCTCTTCCCATGCTTGAGAATATCAAGAGTTAGTGCAACTTCAAGGCTTTCTCTTTTCTCCTGAATACGATGCAGAGCTCTCTCTAGATTGAGCCAGAAGCTAATCTCTTGTAATGCAGTGCCTGATGAAGGATCTCGATCTAGTTTTGTAACCTGCGCAATGAAAATTAAAACTGGTCATCTAAGTGTCATATATTTTTTTAAGAAATGTAATAATTAACATAAAGATGAATATAATATGGAAAGACTGCAGTGAATTTACATATTAAAGCATGCATTAATGGTTTCAAAGTAGTTTCAGAACCTATTTCAAAAGACAAACTTAAATTAAATTCATGGTTCACAGGCAAGCAGCCTGATTAATTGACGGAACGTACCATATAACCGAAATAAGTTGCTGTTAAAATTTTGATTACAATTTCTTCAAAGTAATACATACTAAACTTTATTAATAAATAGAAATGGTAGCATTCATACTTTCTGAATTTCCTTGATCCAGCGATTAACACCATTCTGTAGCTGATTGAGGAACGTTGAGTCCTCTACTTTATCTCCAAAATCTGCAAGTTTAGGTTTGCGGCTTTCATCTGCACAGCGCTTGATGACAGTCGCAACAGTCTGATGCACAGGAAGAGAAATCTCAGGGATGTCAATATTCTGCTGCAGGTGCAACAATCCCATCTCCAGTTCAGCCATCTTTTTCTCCACAGAAGGCGCCATTTTATCCCCATCTCTACAAAAATGTAATATCTTACTAGTTACTAGATATTACATCAAGATGTTCAAACTAATGTCTCATTAATTCGGGTCTTCACATCACACCAGTTACAAATTTACCATTTGACATTTCTGGAGAAATAAAAAAATGACACGAAAGAATATGTAAAAAAATCAAAATATTTTCTCACTCAACAGAACTTATTTTTCACTTATCTTGGACAAAATGAAAAGTCAGCCAGATTGCAACATTTTAAAATGGATGCAGAGTTACAGTTAGCTAAGAAGTTTCTTGATATTCCTACTAATTTACTTTTACCTTTCATAAATCACATTTAATTATTTCTACCAGTGTTTTCACAAATACTCTGATCGTAAGTCTTAATTCCTCAACAAATACTTCAATATATTTCACTTCATATGACACATATACTGACCTGTCTGCACGTCCTGACTCCTTCACATATGATTTGAAGTATGGAGCCATGGTTTTGCTGATGAAAGCATGAAGTGTCTCATATGGAGAACCTTCACTGAAGTTAATAAGTCGTAGCTGAGAGTGAATGGCCTTGTCTGCTTCTATAATTGCTCCCCTCTTGACACAGATCATGCTGAAAAAATATTATACAGAGAATTGTATGCAAAGTGTGTAATACCATCTTCCCTTAAATAAATCTTTCGAAATTAAATGAAATTGTACCTGGCCATCTTTGGATTGGTGAAATGAACTTCATTTGAAATGCAGTATGTGATAGCATCTTTTTCTTCATCACCCTCACCAGACTGGTCACCATCCTCATCTGCAACAGAAAACAGAGTTACAATAAACTATAATTATTTAAATGTCTTTCTTTGAAACAATGTTCAATCCATTTCTCAGAAGAAATGAATTTGTATGAAGTCTAAAAAACGTACATAAATTAATTTCTACCTTCGAAGGAAAATGGAAGAATGGGACATAGACACAATGGAAAAAATCTGTAAAAGTGCTTGATGAGAAGGGATGCCTTTCCAGGGGATAATATTAATCTGAACTAATATTTACAAATACTCCTTCAAATTAAATATTTCTAAACTTACCTCACTGATATCAAGTACAGAATACATGTCTTCCTATCTTACTTTTATAAATGCACATATGGAATAGAATTGTGTTCTTAAATAATACATAATTTCTGCAGTTTTTTCAGTCTTGGAATTTCATAGCAAAGCACTTGTGCCATAAACAGTTCTTCTCAGAAGTTCAACTTTATTAATACACAAAAATACTTGTATCCTCAAAACGAGTGTTCTACTTCTTAACAATGATCAAAAACCTAATCTCTTTGCATACACCACATCTACTGCCATATTTCTCACAAAGTGTATTTAATTTGTGCACAAACCTAATGAAAGTAAATAAAATAAAATTAACCTAACCTGATCTTATCCATCACCAATTACAGATGTGGAGAAATATAAAAAAGTCTGAACACAAGATAAATTGATTATGTTAGCTGTAGAACTACATTATTAATGTAACTATGTTCCATAACCAAACAAATAATAGGTACCCAGTAGGTTTTGATGTTTGCATGGTGGAAATCCGAAGAAGGCTGTCTTCTGGGGTGAAGCACAGTGTAGCCTGGTAGAGATTTTACAACTTTCATAAGTTTTGCTGTCTCCATAATCAGGGTTGTGAGTAAGCCATGCACAAGGAAACTCTCTTTCATATCCTTCACCCCCACCCCCCTTCTGGTCAGGCTTAGGTATGCCTCCTTTTCTTTTTGTCTCCCTTCATCAGGTTCTACCTTGACTGACTGGTTCCTGCATCTCATGCATGCCTTACTCACTGTCCTGATAATACAGTCAGCAAGGACCCTTGTAATGTTGGTAAATTTCTACCACACTAGAAAACATAAGATAGCCTTCTTCAAGTTCTCTGCTATGAAAATCTCAAATCCTACTCAACCATACTGTAGTTTCTTCCAGACATTTATGCTACTGTGCAAATTCGATTTAAATTACAAGAATGTGCAAACAGCCCATAACCTTGCAGTAACATTAATTAACTGGGCAATGTCAAAGGTCAATGTCAAATGATTCTCTTCAACATCTATTAACAACCAACCTTTTGAAGGTGCTCGCTGTACCAGCAAGCACGAAACCTGAGGATCGCTTAGAAATTTCTGAATACAGTCTTGATTATTGCGATCATTTAATGCTGCATTTAAAGCCGGAGGAATTAAATCTTCGTCCTCTGGTAACAGAATGGTAACTGCCTTTTTCAAATAATTTGCAAAAGCGGAGTAATCGACAACTGCGACATTTTCGGTCACTGGAGATCCCTCTCCAGTCCCTCCTTCTAAAGAATCACCCATTATTCAACAAATCTGATTCTTATACGAGAGCCATGTTAAAAACCTTCTACTCCAACATTAATAAGCACTACCACTCCCTAATATCGATGAATCACCACACTGCCATAGCCAACTTGGCGATCGTACTTCAAGTGTTCGGGTTCTCTCGGAATCGTACGATCTACCAACATCAATACTTATACCAGGTTACTATCGAGATTACTGTGAATAAAGTAATAACAGCAAGAAAAGAAGTGTTAAATAGCAGATCAGCTTGTCTATATTTTCGTAAATAATCAGTTGCTATTAACTGTTATCAGAAAGCTCTTTCGTAGAATATGCTTCTGTGGGAGAAAAGAATAAAGTAAAAGTCTTTACGCCACGTTACATGACCTCTTCAAGGCCGAAAACGTCATCGGGAAATCTTACAATATGAAGAGCCGCCTGTTTGTTATCGTCTTCCTGAGAATTGGTATGGAGTACACATGGCTAGAGTTTTGGGAGCATAACCTCAACGCTGAACTGAAGTCACTTTATTTTAGACCATAATACTTTAGCACCATAATAATTTTAAGCCACAACTGTGTGTTAAATCCTCCCACTGGAATTTTCTGGCAATCACAAAACATTTGTAAATATTGGTCACTGAGTTTATCCAAGAGAGTAAATTAAAATAGGTAATGTTGGTGATTCTGATTTGCTATGTCTGTTGCTGTTGATCCGTTGTCTTTTGACAGGAGTGTGAAAGGCACTAAATGGAAGTAGGATATGATGGATTTTCTTAGATCGAAACGTTGGACATATTTCAGTGCGTTATGCATAATAAAGCTATAGTCTTCTGGCCATGACTGATTCCCATATTCGTTTTGTTAACTATGTCAAAATTAAAGTAACCCATATTCGTTTGTTAGATGTGAGACATAATATGTAATCCTTTTGTAATGCTGATTGATACCCCTACATTACTTTTTGTTTCTGGTTTAGGTTGTGGAGAGGGGGAATCTTCCTTATTTTAACAGCTGATTGCGACATATGCGGAGATAGCTTGGGGAAAGAGGAGATAACGTATCGGCTGTTTCAGGATGTTACTCAGCAAAGTGGCTTGTCATTGTTAAAATGTTCTTTTGGTTTACGTCAGTGCAACAAGAGTGGTTGAATACAAGTTTTCTTGTAGTTAAGATGGAAGATTACACATCAGATAGCAGTGATAGTGATGGCCTGCACCGCACTGTTGACTATTCGTACTTAATGTTAGATACACATACTCTTTACCACAATATTGAGCATTTTGTAGATATGGAAACGAAAGACCCGGAAAATGTAGATACTCTTTTATTACACCACAATACGATTAATATACTACCATTAAATATGAATAAATTTAAAATCTTAAAGGTCTTGGATGTCAGTTCTAATGGACTAACAGAACTACCGGAAATACTGTCAGAATGCCCTCTTAGATGTCTTATTGCCAAGAATAATAATCTGGACAGTGATTCTTTTCCAAAATCCATTGGTTCATTTGTAAATCTCAAAGAACTGAATGTCAGTGGAAACAATATTACCTCCTTTCCTGAGCAAATACTTGAAGTTACAAGTTTGAAGTATCTCTATTTGGGAGGCAATCATCTAAGGGAAATCTCCAAAGACATTTGGAAACTACATGGGTAAAGGCATTACTTTTCAGTTTATATATTAATTTATTTTTATTCTTTCATTTATGTATCATTATACATATTAATATTCATGTGGCAATAACCTTTTAATCTTTGCAGGCTTCAGATCTTGTATATTGGTGGGAACAAACTTGTTCATGTACCAGATTCTGTTGGCAAGCTAAAACAGTTGCAAGCCTTGAACCTAAGTGACAACATTCTGGAAAGTCTTCCAGCTACGATTGCAAATCTCAAGAATCTCAAATCTCTTTTACTGCATAAAAACAAGCTTCGGACTCTTCCACCAGAAATTGTTGCTTTAAAATGTTTAACAGAGGTTTGTATTGCATTTCTTCATTTGTGACAGTGGCACACCTGAAACAGGTTTGTACATTATATCCATTTTATCTGTAGAATCAGCAGCTTAGAGTCAATGGGAAATTGTCTGATGGAACTTTGCAGAGAAATTGCTGCCCACTTTTCTCATGCATTTAGCTAATCTTATTTTATAAATGAGCCTGTCTTTGCTTCTACACTGACCTTACATTTGTAGACATTTTATAGTCTAAAGCATACTACATGGCAACTTTCTGCATTTCAATATCAGTTGTTATAACAGTTCATATAGCCACATAAGTTAAACTTTATTGTGGCCATTGGGAATCCTGTCTGCATCTAGACCATATGAGTGGTCTCTTCCATTCATGTTTTCAGACAACAATTTTGGACATTGGACTTCATGCAGTACCTTTTTTAATTTAATTCCTTTCTGTTGTCAACAGATTATTGTTGCATTTGTTCTCACATGTGAGATAGCATGGAAAATACGTCTTGCTAAGGGACTCACTTCACCATGGAATGATTTGTAGAAATTTAATAATATACAAATACATTTTTGCCATCCTAATATTATGTGAAAAATCTATGTCTACTATGTACTGTAAATATTCTAATATCACAGTGTAGTTGGAATGTTAATGGGTAGATACATATTGCACATTTGTTATGAAATACAAGTCCTTAGTCATCTCCCAATTTTTAAAGGACAGGTCTTTTTGGTACAGTTTGCAGTGTCATTCAGTGAAGAGTTAATGGATTGTTTTGAGAGACTGGAAATTCAAACCATATTTTGATAATTAGCTGTGCCATGCCGGCAGCAGTGTCTATTGAGTTTTGAACAGGTTGTGTGTGTGTGTGTGTGTGTGTGTGTTATTTTTGCTCAGACATTAAATTTCCATGTTGCACATGAATAACCATTATGTCTTAAGAAACTTTTAATACATGCTACATGTGAGTTTGTTGAACTCCAATTTTGTAAAAAGTGTCTGAGAAAAATTGATGTGCTGATAAACAGATACATTTTTGTGCATCAGCAACATTCATTTATACTAAAGCTGGAGAAAAGTGCTGTTGACTTTTACAAATATAACAATAAGTTTATGAAGGGGAAAAATTAACAGAACACAAAAGAACTGAATATGGCTGTCTTCTGGGTTGCTGCACCATGTAGTCTGGTAGAAGTTTACTTACATTTCAGAGGTCTTTGCTGCCTCCATTGCCCTGATGAAAAATCTTTGTGGTATGAGGAAAGAATTAGAATAATTTGCTCACATTTCAGATGACTGTTAGATAAACCAATGCTTTAAAATGTCCAATCACAAAGTCAGTATGTTAATTTCATTTGGTTGAATTAATTTGGTTATAAGTATTTTTTAAAAAAAATGTACAAATCTGTAAAGTGTTTCATCTAGCACCTGGTAAAGACAAGATGGTAGCAATTTATCTTTACAATTCTGCCTGCATGTAGTAATGGAATATTGCATTTTTAATTTCAGATGCATTGAGACCATATGATGGAAAACCCATTATGGCTCAAGCCTAAAAATCTTATAACAGAATTTGATAATTTTCAAACAACTGTTTACTTTCTTTGTTTTAGTTAAGTTTACGCGATAATCCACTGGTGGTACGCTTTGTAAGCAATATGACACTCAGTCCTCCAAGTCTTCTAGAACATGCTGGGAGAGCAATCAAGGTTCATGGGATACCATACGGAGCTCCAGACCTGCCAAGGAGTCTAATTGAATACTTAAATAGTGCTCATCACTGTGTTAACCCTACGTGCAAAGGTAGTAGACATACTATGTGGCAATAGTTTGTTTATTGCTTCCTGTATAAATTATATTGTTTTATGCACTATTATCTCCAAACCATATAATCATGATTCAGCTGCTAATTTACACCATCACCTTAAGTGAAAATGTGGGTTAATACAATATTTGGATTTAATTCTTTGGTTTAAAATAGATCTCTTTTCTATCTTGAAGGTGTATTCTTTGACAACCGAGTGGAGCATATCAAATTCGTGGACTTCTGTGGAAAGTATCGCATTCCCCTGCTGCAATACCTTTGTTCATCCAAATGTATTGAAGATGACTGCAACAGTGAAGTTGATGAATCAGGAACTTATGGCTATGCCAACAGTAATATGATGAAGAAAGTTCTGCTTGGTTAAACTCTTCCTCTGCTCAATTCAGTGTATTCGTATTTCAAGAAAGTTCCTAAATTTGTATTACACGTTCCTAATTACTTATAAAATGTATGCATAACTTAGTGCAAATGTGCTTAAAATTTTGAGAAAAAAGAAATGAATCCTGAATTAGAAGCTGTAAAACATTGGGAAAATTAAAAATTCACAATTTTTGAACTTGGACATCAAGAATTTCTACACGACAGCAAAAATCTGTATATATGTGTAATTTAATTTAGTACTAAAAGTTAGTTTATTGCAGAGGTTCAAACAATGGCTGTTGGAGTAATGATTGTTCACTATCTAAGATATTTTTTTTGAATATGAATTGGTCTCTTCTAAGATGTTCAGATTCACAGAATGTGCAACTGTACAATACAAAATGTGGTTGTATGTTTTAAGAGAGGAATAAAAATAATATTTTTGCACTTTAAAGTACAAATCTGCATTACTTATTTAATTCCTTTTCATGTTCTTTATTTTTCTGAAAAGCAAGTTTTATTATTTCTTTTACACAGCAGTTGGTACGTGGCAAGGCAGTGGCCGTGCATATTCTTTTAAATAATTTGTCACGCTAGATAGCGAATTTTGCTTTCAACTTAGAGAAGAGAAAAGATTTAAAAATTCATTTCACCTAGTATGATAACTACCACACATTATTTGGAGAATAGTGATCTAGAAATCAAGAACCTGTTCGATAACAAGTCTCACAATTTCCGAAACATACTGTACAAATACATTTGATGAGTGTGTGTGTGTGTGTGTTATCATCTTGATGGGTACAACATTTAACCTATAAAAATGGTTCTCTTTTTACAGAATATGTTTACAGCACATCAATACAAAAGCATTTCTTCATATATGTGCTCAGTTTATCCATGTGCCCTAGTTTGGATGGATTACATTTCTCTACTTTTCTCTTTTTTAAGTGTCAGCATTTTATTTTATAAATTTGTATCAGCAACAGGCAAATTTTTGACAGACACACAAATAGCTTAACTGACACAAGTCTGTTTTCTCTAACAACTATTCTGTTTTGAACATGTTTAAATATATCAAGAAAATAATGATAAAGATGGTAAAGCAGTAGATTATTTACAGCAATAAAAACTCTTGGAGAGAAATACAAGATGGCATATCACTACCTCTATAATAAAGGAAGTGCAAAGAAACCCTCCGTGGAATGAAAAATTTAACACGGAAGATCTTTCTCGCAATATCTCGCCTCTTACGGAATTGTTATGTATATCCATACTTTTAAGTATTATCTTATTTCTTACATGTAAACCAACCATTGCTACTTTTTTTTGTCTTGTGAAGTTACACATAACCGCCACAAACATCTATTCAGCTATAAAAATGGTGCCCCCAAATATCATATTGTTTAAACTTTGTACAGAAATGCACATGTCCACAAGTATTATTTATTATTATAGTATGTTTCTGTTTAGTTTAACAATGACATAGATCATTCAGGAAACACACTGCCATCTTTTAAAAACTATTAATACACACTTAACAAGTTTTTTATTATTATTATTATTTTGATGACAGCTTGCATATTAGAAACAGATCCTATAAGTCAGTCAGGTTTCATAAGCTGCTGAAATGAAACAACAGCAACATCTTTGCAATTCCCATGCCCTTTTCTGTAATGTTCCGCTCTATCTTCTAATCATCCATACACACATTACACATAATTACAAATACAGGCATTGTTTGCTTTCAAATTTCATTACAGTTATGACTTTTTTTTTCAAGAAAAAAAACTGGTGCAGCAAAAGCTAATTTGAAAAGGCCTGATATGTGAAACTCTACTGCATATTATTCAAATTCTTATATTGACTGGATTGATGCTCTAGATATTTATATGTATATATATATTTATTTATTTATATTCTTTCCTGAGGTGCTAAGTATGCACTCTATAACAACTATAACTAGTCATTTTTTATGTTTTTATGCTGAGGAAATGTTTCTCATTTAAGAAAAGTTAAAAAATGAAGCTATAACTTTCATGCACAATGAAATCTAATAGATTCTTATTATAATGCAGCACCAGCCATACCAAATTACACATACAATATGAATTCTGCCATTTTTTATAACTTATTATGAAGGTGCCCACAACATTTTTATGCATTACAAATGTGCAATTATTTCTTGGAAAGCTTACTTGCTACAATTTTTCACACTTTTAAATCTTACAGACAAATACTAACGGACAAACTGTTTATACAAATGACTCATAATCGGAGAAAAAGTAAATCGAGTCCTGACAGCAAAAATTACAGACATTGTATGTTTACATGTTCATGTTGACTAGGGTCTAAAAAAAATATTGCATATTCAATAATGCATTCTGCGTTTATAACAATATTCCTAACAAATGTTAGCACACATTCACTACTTCGCTTTGATCTCAATTTGGACACGGGCATTCCATTATATTACACAGCACATGGTACACAAAATGGCTTTGCAGGAAAATAAGAACCTCATTTTTCTTACAGCATGCTACAATTTCTGCTTCAGACCAAACTGACTCATCTTTTTATATTAAAAAATTAAAAGTTTAGTGTTAGGTCCTGAGGCAGAATTCAACAATTACATTTGTTATATACTCTCCTCATTTAAATATTTAAACAAAACGAAAACTATTTGCTGAAAGTGTCTTATTTAAAATGTTAACAAACAGTATACATATTAACAGATATCAAGTAGCTAGAAATACAATACTTTTCTCTTTATGTGAACCGTAAGGGGCAGGCAGGGAAAACGTCTGAAATGTACAACAGATATGAGTTCCATATGTTGTGAAATACATATTACGGAGGAGTTTAGAGACTGGAACTCAGTAAGGAGAAACAACAATCTTGACTACAGGCCTTTTATAAATTTGTTCTTTCTGCAAGACAAAATACTGTAAAGCAACCAGCTTCACAGAAGACCCAGCTTGTCGACAGTACATGTTAGGACCAGTTTTCATGGCAATAGGAACAATTAAAGAATTATGTCACAGAACGTGCCACCAGAAGAGATGCTGTATGGAAACTGTTGGAACAGAAGAGTGTCACCACTGTGGGATTGTCTGCACACAATATGGATAGGCTAACCAATTACTTTTATGTCAGTAAATACTGTTAATCATCAAATATTTAAACACAAATACACTCAACACTACAGGAAAACCAAGAACTGTCACTTGCCACACAGCTCTGTTGTCAGCCAGCTGCTGAGTCAAAGGCATTTATGTTTTTCATACATACATCAAATATCAGCTGGTACAGTTATGTAAACAAAGCAGACATTTAGAAAGATATTCGACTTGAGAAAATGGGTTGCTTTTGGAAGTAGTAGGAAAATGGAGCCATCTTTATTTTGTTCTGAAAGCTGAAAGGCACATACGTACACACAGAAAAACTAGCCCACTACCATGTTTGAGGAATTACCTGTTCAGAAGATGAAAGTAGAACATTCATTCCAAAACAAATGTAACTCCATCCATAACCTCTATTCCACTGTGGATGGAAATGCATGTATTGCTTCAACAGCTGGTATGATTTCTTACAAGGTAAGGTGCTCCACATAATATGCATGACAAATAACTTTTCTTGGAACCATCAATGATTGAGCATGATCCAAGTGATACTCGTGGCACAACTCTTAAACAGGACACCTTATGAGAATGAAAATGGGATGGTCATTTATTCCTTTCATGATTTGTGATGACAAGAGCCAACTGCATTACTATTCCAACAATTTCACACTTAGTCTTGACCTTTCCATCTCCGAAACTGATGAAACCACTGTTACTTTGCCATGTTCACAGCATACAATTCCTTACCACAAAGTTTTGATCAAACTAGACACTCCAATTGAAACCATCAAACAAATAAAAAGGATGCATTATTCAAAAACTGCACTAGGGAATTATCAATACAGAGCATAAACCCATATATGCTAATCAATTTTATTTAGAAACAAAAGGAAATAAATTCATTGTTTCTAATATATATATTATTTAACAGTGTACCAAATAATTCAGCATGTTCAAAAGTTACCAAGATGTCTAAATCTTTCATCATCATATTTATATGTACATTCCTCATGAAGCGGAGGATATTTTGACTGCCCTTTTTAGAAATCTGTGATAATTGCAGAGGCAGCTGGCAGTATTGTTTAGAGGAGAGACACCTATTCATGAGCAGACCCATAATCATCGGTACCCAATAACTTTTCACTAGTTTTATAACTAATCAAATATTGAAATTAGTTCCAGTGGTTCACTCTGTAGGAGTTCCTTCCAGCATGCCATGCAGGGATATCCACTGTTCAACATTTGGCAACCATGAGAATGCATAACCTCAGATAGGACAAAGAAAGTAAGATCAAAAATTATCAATGATTGTTATAGGTATGGAACAAACTTAGATCTTAGTTGTGTCTTTACATTTCATTAATTCTGCCATGAAATACTAGATCATTAGATTATTGTATTATATTTTGTACATGGAAATACATGAAAAAATAATCTTAGTAACTACAGAAGCATAGAAGTGAAATGATTAAGTTCTGTGTAGACTACTCTGTAATGTTTAAGGTTGCTATAATTTATTTCTACATGTGGAGAAACAAGTGTTGCTGGCAATTTCAATACACCTACAGGAAAGTGTCAAATCCTCGAACTTAGTTCAAAAGTTTGTCTCTAGCACAAATGAATGGCATTATTCTTGACATAATCTTCACTCTCACCCCCCACCCTAGCAAGCAAACAATCAAACAAACACTTACACATTTTCCATCTCCTCTCCTCCACAAGCTAACACCATATTGAAAATAAAATATAAATAGTCCATACAAATTACGAGCTCTTACATATTGCATAACAGCCAGGCAAATAGTTCATCTTTATGAAAGCACCAAACTTTTCTTTTTAAAATTTGATCCACCCCTCACACAGCTACTAAAGCTAAAAACAAATCAGTGTGGTAAAATATGAGGTTATAAGTGAAACCACTGTATTTAATATAATGTATCGTCGGTTTTGAAATGGTCAACATGTAAAAGGATTTACAATTTTAAAAAATAGTTAAAATAAACAATCTCAACAACCCCCCCCCCCTCCCATTCAAACCATTTTTAGAATACAAAAGAAATTCACCCTAATTATTTCTGTCTTGCTTGAAAAGCCAAAATGTTACTTTTCATTCATAATAAAAAAAATTAGGAAATACAATCCCATAACTTTTCTTAACATTTACACAAAACTGCACATTTAATTATTATTCAGCAAATTTCATGCTGCTCTACCACTCACTCAATAATTACAGTATCTGGTAGCTTTAGCTTTCAGTAGATAATGCAAAGAAACAGCTGGCGGATAATCAGGGGAAAAACTATTAATACATCTGTTAAGTAATTTATAATTGAAATATATATGTACAAAGATGGAACCAGATTTAAATTGTACATTTGGTTTACTGTAGATAATCTTTGTTTCTTTTCACTACACATCAAAATGTATTATATCATGGCCAAATTATAAATTACTGAAGGATATCTTCATGTTTGATTTCATAGTTCATTTTGATACATATAAAATAGAAGGCTGTCACACATTTTGATACAGAAACCAAATGTGCCAAGCCCCCCACTTCCCTTATTATTTATTTGATTCAGGCTGTGAGAGATGTAAATGAAATCTTAGGCTGTGGGAGAACTGAACAATGCAAGTTGTCCACATTTACTTCCACTTTAAATCTCGCGTTCTCTTTAATGTTATCAGATTTTCAGTTTTCTCTGAGTTCCTTTTCTCCATAATGTACATCAAATAATAAAAGAAAGGTATGGCATTCCACACTGAATCTTCAGCATTTTCTATAATGTCATTTGCATCTACAGAATGTTCTGTTGTCATTATATGAGCCTTCGGTTACAGACGTAGTTCAGGTCATTCCCCAGACATGTGTAAGATGATTGCCTTCTGTTGCTTGTGTCTCCCACCCTTCCCTCTCTCTACATCTTGTTTTACAGTTCTTCAAACAGATCAAACTTGTCGTTATATTACCACTGCTGCTAGTTTTGGTCTTGATAGTTGGTCTAGTTGTTTGGTGTGGACGTAGTGTTGTGTTGCAGAGTTTAAACAAATGGGCTATCTCAAGCCATTCCAGATGCTGCTGCTGCTGCTCCACTGGGGGATGGGACATTAGGATCAGATGTTACCATTAAGTTGGCATCTGCAGATGATGCACTGATACCTGGGTTACTGCAAGCCCCACCACTCCCATCTGCTCCTGAATTTATACCACTTCCTCCAGGGCCTTCCTGTGCGTGGCGCGGTAACAGCAACATGTTTAGAGATGGCATAATGGTCAGTTCTAAGAGCACAAGTGGAAAATGTAATCAATATACACAAGAAATAAATATATTCAAATCATTAGTTAAAGGTGTCATTCATGACATATGAATGCCCTATAAATTTATGTTTAGTCAATATGTAATGAAGTACAGTGAAGTCAGTGCATATTAATTTTCTGTTGTCTGTTACCAATGGGTACCTATCAAGGAATTATAAAGAATTAACTAATCCAGAGATGTTACTCACCCTGTTCTGTGAAGTTGAATAATGGTGGTAGTTCCCTACCATTTGGTAGCCGTGTGTTTGTCTCCCGTAGCTCATCAAAGAAAGTGTGGGCACATGCCTGAAGTGGAGAGATGCGGGACGAAGGTGTGTACTCTAGCAGCCGTGATACCAGATCAATTGCCTCAGGTGGTGTGCGAGCGCGGAACACCTGCCATCAACACATGAAACACAACATATCCTTGTGTATTTAGATCAACTATATTATATGTACTTACCATGTTTTATGCCTGATGATGGCATATAAACACTGTAACATGTAGTCAAAGAAATATTATATTCACATAATAAACAAAGCTGACAGAAAAGGTAATAACTGACATGAAAATGAAACACGAAATAAAAAAGAGCATGTGAAATGAAGCCATTAACATATCCTTCTCCCAAATATTACACCACTCCATGCAAACCTTGTAAGAGATTACTTTACTTCCTGTCTAATGCATTTTGGATCACACGTTCCCCATGCATAATTTTCTTTAAGTTTTGAAAAAAGAAAACATTTATCAGCTTGGATTTGCATTGCTGTTTGGAGTCATTTGTCATGTCCGTTACTGTTATGTAGAATACAATACTTAATCACACAGATTTTAATATAGTATGAGAACCAAGACACAGCAAGAAGTTAGAAAATGTATGCATAGTATAACAATTGTGGCACTTTCATTCAGTTATGTGCCTCTATATTTTATATTTGTGAATGCTCTCATAGGTAGTGTAAGTATTTGTGTGTGTGTGTGTGGGGGGGGGGGGGGTGAAATAAATGGCACTGCCAAAATGGTAGCAGTGACATAAGTTGTCTGAGGTCAATGACCATCGCATTGGATGTAGTGCCTGGCCGAATGACGACATCATCATGTGTGGTCACAAGTGAAAGCAACTACAGCTTATCAAATACCGAGACATTTTCATCCAAGACAAATACTAGACTGAGCTTATAAATTTATAGTTAATTTAGGAATTAATCAAATGCCAATTACTGACTCACTATACTTTAAAAATCATTAAAGACACATTTGGTTTTCATACTCATAAAAACCTTACAATCACCCATGCATCTAAAATGCATTTTTCCCAAGTTAATACAATAATCTAATGCCTAAGTCCTTAATATGTATGGAACTTGTTACTGCGTATGGAACAATCTATGATATCTATAACATTATCAATCACATTTAAAATATGTTCACAGTTCAAAAACAGCTACCTCAGTATTGTATCAATCCACTGGATCTATGTATAGTTGTATAATCAAAGCCAATAATGCATACTATTAAACATGGACAGTAAAAAAGCCCAATTGCATGTAATTATGATAAAAAAATTGTATATCAAATCTAAAAGTTTGTGACGACAGTGAGTCATTGGAATAAAAATTTCCTTGGATATTTTCCATCGTCTAAGAAATAATAAAATATAAAACGACGTTTCGGATATGGGGCTCTATCTCCGTCATCAGGTACCTATGTTGTTAGGCCCAATAGATAGAGCTAATCCCCATCTCCGGACCAAAAAAAAAAAAATGTAGTTGCAAGAAAACTGAAGTCAATGAGTAACATAAACGTTCCAACAAGAATAAGAAATCAACAGTCACAATTTCCACAACACTTTATATGCAGATAATTTGTAATAACACAAATCTTTCCTTTGGTTCCAAAACAAGTGTTTAACCAAATGAGACTTCTGAAAATATACTTAAAAACCACAAACAAAGAATATCCATTCAGTAGCCATGAATTCCTTCAAAAGAAGAGTCAGCATCATAAATATGTATGTCAAAAGGATTCCACAGAAATTATATAGGACCCAACAGCCATTACAGCTTCCATAAACAAGTTACTATGGAGGAACTTCTTGAAATGACTGCCATACAAAAGTACAGTATTTAGTCTTCACCACGCATTGAAACATGTAATGGACATGACACATTGTAACACACAGTTTTGTCATTTCAAAAGCTTCATATAATGTGAATGATCTGCAATCATATACCTCCAAATTCAGCATGATGAATCAAGATTCTGATGGAACAAATCTAAACATCAAGCCATACAAGCACATGAAAACTGTTCATGGGTCATTCTCAACATGTTTGGCAGACTCCATCACCTCCTACTCAGCCATTCATTTAATGCAAATGACATTTCAAACTTTGAAACAATTTCCACAATTGTTAGTAAGGAGTCAGGGAGGGTAAGTCCTGGTTATTGGGATACCCAAGCTACTACTGATCCCTACTTACTCTAATTTTCTGATGATCTGTAGTACATTTTGGAACAGACATTCTCTGCAGCATGCACTGCAAGGAAAAGCCCAAGTCCTACTTGAACCATCCAGAACTGGCAGAAATGTAGCAAACGTTGTTTTTTAATTACAGTATTCATTGCTTCAATGCTAGTCCTCATTTAACACATTTGAGTTTGAACTTAGATAATGGGAATTATGTAAAATAAATATTTTTAAAAAGTAAAACATAAAACATATTGACCAGATACACATGAGATATATATTGACAGCAGTCATAACGTCAATCAGTAACTGAAAAACACTGAAGATTTTCAGGTATCGCCACCATAAAATACAAAATCCTTTAAAAATTCTATCCCTTCTCTGATGGGTCTGATGATGATAATGATGTGCACCACCACTTCTGAAGATTTCAGTCAATCACAAAAGTAAAAGTGGAAAAGAAACCATCACTTTCACATGCGAGTGTGCGTCATCTTTCATCTATGTTCTGAGCAATGTACAGTAGCTTCCTGCAATCCTTTATGTTTATAAAGTGTGATAAAAAAGACATGGTTTCAAAATAACAACAGCTCTCACACCTTACCAGGCTGAAACTAGAAATGATAAACATATCAAACAGAATGGCGAAGAGACAATATTTCTTCCACTGACTGAAACCATGGTGTGTGAATGGCAAGGCAATACAAATATTGATAAAAATGGACAATAGGATGCAAACTATTTGCAAGCATGTTATTTCTCTCTAGTCAAAGATAGGGTAAAGAGGGTCCTTGACTATTAACATCAGGACTCCATTTAATATTTACATTCTTAAGGTTTTCTTGAATTAAAAGTTTAACTTAAATTACTTGTCTTACATTTATTAATTTAAAGTTTTTCTCATCTTAGTGTTCAAATCCATTTTTGTTGCATTTGTGTAAATAATTATGCTTGCCAGTGAAGACAGGAGACAAGCAGAAGTTGTATTCAAGAAGCTGGAATAACATGAAGCCATGCATTAAATAGAGATAAAATATGCATACAGAGACTGGGATTTCAAGTCTGTAATTCAAGAAACAGACTATCCCTTGAAAAAGGCCAAACAGTCATCATGGACACATTTCCTTAATGTTTCTGTAAGGAAGATGGCAGATATAAGCACACCATCACAGAAAAAACTTCAATATCCAAAATATAAAAAAACACCATCTTTTATGCTGTGCTTATGTCACACAACCGCCGACACGCATAATGAGCAGCTGCGTGAATTGTATGGGTCACCTGGCATAGTGAGGATAGTAAAATCTAGGAGGCTCTGTTGGGCTGGACATATAGCACACATGTGGGTGGAGGGTCACACAGAATTTTGGTAGGAAATCCTTCTGGAAAAAGACCACTGGGCAGACCAAAAGGAGATGGAGGAAAACATCAAGATGAATCTTAAGCCTTGTATCGACTGCGCGCGGCTGCCTCGCGCACCTGTTCGTGCGCGGCAAACTCGTTCGTTCGCTCATTGTGCTCGTGGTTACCAGCATCGAGCGCGGCAGCAGTGTTCGGCTACGATCGACGCTGTTCGTCAGTTCTCGCAAGATCACCATGAATACAACACCGTGAAATCCCTTTGCCGCGGGACAAAGAACCGCTCAGATTTGGCTCGACGCGAGCCAAGTTCGAGCGCGGCATTGTTCGTTCTGCCACGCGTAGCAACATGGTATCGACTTTGCGAGGCAAAGCAACGAACATTGCCTCGCGAGGCAGCCGCGCGCAGTCGATACAAGGCTTTAGGGAAGTGGGCTGTGAGGATGGCAAATGGATGGAGTTGACTCAGGATCATGGCCAGTGGCAGACTTTGGTGTTGCCGGTGTTAAACCTGCGGGTTCTGCCACCATGGAGTTAGCTAGTTATCCAAATGGAGAGACAGGTGAAAGAAGAAGCTTGTGGCTTCAAGAGGAGTGGTTGCAGTTTCTAAATGTCGTTCTACCAAAACATGCCTTTTCATTTTCTACCCGCAGAGGCAACTAAGTAAGGATGCTTATATGTAACTTCAGATATCAGAGGAGTAATTCGAAAGTACTTCATTAAGTTTGTTCAATGGGATTTACCTAACACATTATGCTTGAGGCACTTAATCACCAAGCTTGATAAGGGTTTATTGCATAAGACACTGGGAATCTGCACTAGTGAGAATTATACACAGAATGTATCACAAAATTTCATAATTATTACTTTGTAGTTCTTGGTAAATTCACCACACAGAATAAAGTATATGAATAAAAGTAGACACACTAACTTCTTTTCATGGCATTATAATCTTTACGAGTTCAGATTAATATTGTCATATGCACCACATACCTGTTTCGCACTGAGACGATGTTACAAATAAAGTTATCACCACAGCATGTTAAGAACACAGAGCCATTAATTTTAAAACAACTTCAATGTTTGAAAGACAGAAGTATGCTGCATTCAACTTCCAGTCTACCCTGAAGATATATCATCCCTGTAGTTGCTCATATTTTACAATGTTTAAAGGGAAAAAAAGTTCCCTATTTTTTTCAAAACCTAGAAGTATATATTTCCCACACATCTGATTTAGTTAAACACTCTTTTCAAATCACCAAGGATTCTTCATACTTGTAGTAGGACTACTTATGATATTAAAGTATAGTTGAGGACAATTCTTGACACATTTACTCACAGACAGATACAATTCATGTCCCTTTTATATATCCAAGTTCCCAAATTCAAAAAGAGAAAACCCAGTGTGATTATACTAAACAAAATATGCTGTACAAAGATGCTTTCTTTGTACCTACATTCTTATAATACAATAAATTCTGAGCATTCAACATGTAAGCACAATATCAGTTCTCTGTGTGATTTATCGTATGTTTAACTTTCCTCATGCTACTATAACCTCTAACGCCATACCTTCCATACCTTTTGCCACGGATGGGATTTGATCTGTGGGAATTTGAACTCTGTATAGTTGGGATTCATCTCTCGAATTTGCTCTCTTGTAGGAGTGCCAAGGACCTTGATAATTTCAACTAGTTGATCAACACCAGAGTCTCCGGGGAAAATAGGCTGACCTAACAGCAACTCGGCCAACACGCAACCTGCACTCCATACATCTGCAATAAACCAAGGCAAGTGTTACTGCAGATAAAACACTAAGAGCCTGTACTTTTACATATATGTGTAAAAAGACGTTACAAAGAGAAGTTCATCCAACAGTTACAGCACTCTGTACAAGAAGTCAATAAGATGGTTTGCAGTCATACTTTAACATCAACAATCTACTCTAAGACCTCCATTATAACAAGAAATGATGCAGTTAATTACTATGAATCACTGCATATTTGTTCTTGTGACCAATGTGTAACGACCATTCTTTGTTTATGCATCCAACCATATTCACAGACACATTCAGATGTGGGGAATGTGATGGACAGTGTTCTACGTTCAACTACTAAATGAAGAATCTGACATACCTATCTTAGTAGTATAATCAATGGCCCCAAATATAAGTTCAGGTGCCCGGTAGTATCGTGAGCAGATGTATGAAACATTAGGTTCCCCTTTGACAAGATGTTTAGCGCTGCCGAAGTCACATAACTTGAGCACACCTGTCTCAGGATCCAACAACAAGTTCTGAGGCTTGATATCCCTATGGCAGATCCCCAAAGAGTGGATGTATGCCAGGCTCCGGAATAACTGGTACATATACAACTGTGTAAACAATAAATTAATTATAAACATTGTGTTGTTATGATGACAATGACAATGACAATAATAAATTAAATTACTATTCTTGAAAGTACAGTAATCAAATAAAGGCTTCTTGGGGTATGTCAGTAAGATTAATTCCCAACATTTATGAGACTGTCTCTGCCTCTGTCACATGGCTGACCACCTAAGATGACGTAACTTCATTCAGTCACTGTGAAAAGCTTCAAATCTTACACAACAATTCAGTTCTTAATTTTGAAATTTGTATTGTATAAAACAGATATTAACATCCCATGGTTTATTGTCAACATACAGTGTGTTACTGATGTACAATAAAACCGGTACCTGAATTTTGTGACAGACCAGATTTACCCCCTTGTGTACAAACAAAATTACCTTCTAATTTCAGGCATGTTACACAACTCAGAGGCCAATGCCTTACTTTCTCTGCTACTACAATATCTAGATATGGAAAAAGATACAGGTATCTTCTAGCCAGGCTCAAAGTTCCCTTCTGAAATTAACAAATTCTCTCATAAGGTACCAAATCTCAAATGATATTTCAATCTTCCATTTAAGACATATCTATTTGTGTAATTTGATCATCAAAATTTTCTTCAAGGCACTAGTGAGATTCAAAAGTAAAATTATCGCTCATCATTATTGAAATGATCTAAATATACGCATGTTTAAGTGAACATGCATGGAATAATATACAAAATTAAATTACTTTTGCTTTATGTTTCAAACATAACTAGAGCTACAGGTGGCTTGAGTATATTACACTATGAAGCGAGGTAATTTACACAAAGCAAAACAACATTCATGTCAACCACAGTTTCTGAGCATCATTAAAAATGCACATCACATACATGTGAAATAATAAACAATTAGAACTCAAGTCACTCACCTTTATAAAACTAATAGGTATAGTCTGCTTGGATTTACTGTAATGCCTAGCAACTTTGTACACAGTCTCAGGGATGTATTCCAGTACTAGATTCAAGTACACTTCATCCTTCTGAAAAGTATTGAAATTACACATCAGTTAGGTTAGGTTGGGCAGTAAATGTTTGTTTCTGCAACTGAATTCCTCAGTTTTGTTACTTGGCTTATAAGAATTATAATGTTTTGATGATGACAATAATATAAAAGGCTTGTGTAGAAGTACACAAGGAGAAAACTAAGCGTATATGTTCATGTCTCATCGTCAGTGTTTGAGTGTTTGCTTCTTTTGGGTTTATTTAATGAGGCTATACAGCCTCAACCAACAGCATGAATAATAAAGACTGAACTGTAAAGTATATAAAAGGAAGTAGTCCTGGAAGGACTGAGAAAAAACACTAAAGAGATAAGTCATAAAGTAGACCATAATTTGAACCTGGGATATCCCAAATACAAAGCAGGAGTGCTAACCACTTAGTCACAATGCTCAGTCTCATCACCTTAATGTAAGACTAAATCATTACATTAAGGTAATTAACAATTCCTTTGAAAATTTGATGTTTAAATCTTTGGGAATTCCAGTAACAAACCAAAATAGCATTCACAAAGATTAAATTTGGGAGATGTCTACCACTACTCAGTTCAGAACTTTTTATCTCATCTCCTACCTAAGGAAGAAAATATTAAAATATACAAATGCATTATGAGTGCAAAACATGATCTCAAATCTGAGATCATAAACTGACAACGCGAGATTTGAGATCCTCATGGCAATGAAGAGGTCACTGTTAAGACTTCTGGACTGTAACAGCATCAGGACTTGTTTGGTACCAATCAACCTATAAGTCATTGGTGAATCCTGGTGGAGAAGTCAGGTTGTGCAAAAATGCAATATTATTAACCTCCCCAACAATTACATCAAAATTATATGAAATGATGATGATGATGATGATGATATGCAGCTGTTGTGTTGCATAGAAAACATTCCCTCCATATTCCTGTAATTTTAGTGGTCTGGTGGCACTACTAGCCAGACTGGAGTATTCATCACAGACACGAATCTACATATTGTTACAACCCAGAAGACCAACAAGAGCATAAGTTGAAGGTGAATGCAAAAAAGGTGATCAGAAAATATTCAGACATATAAAACACAAAGTAACATATAAGAATGGAGGACATTGTATGAAGAGATGCATCATAATTTGTACACTTCAACAATATTATTAAGGTGGTTAAATCAGAGCAGGGCATGTAGCATGCATGGCACAGAATGTAAATTCATAAGCTTAGATGGAAAACCTTAAGGGAAGAGGTCACATGGACGACAAGTCCAGAGAGTAGAGAATAATAATAAAACTGAGGTTAAATAGGATGTGATGATATGGATTGGATTCAACTGACTCAGTTTAAGTAAGATAAAGTGATGAGCTCTTAGAACACATTAATAAACTCTGTTTCCATAAAACGCAGGAAATTCCTTGATTACATGAGTGAAATATTAGTTTCTAAAGGACTCTACTTCTTGGAGTTTACTGGTTAGGGTGACAGTTTATGAACTGGTGTAAATAACAAAGGTAGTAATTGTTCCTGCAACTATTGATTTTTTGGAAGGTACTATCATATTTATTAGAAAAGCGTACTTCAGAAAACAAATTAAGAATTCGTGAACAAGTTAAAAAGTAACTTTCAACAACACAAGTTACGCCACCGAATCAAATTGCAATACCCTGCCCATTTTTCATTCCATATCCAAAAATATAAATGTGATTTCTGAGAAGCTAATAGTTTCTTAGCTACCCACGAGACTCCATACCTTTTATGGAAACCGAAGGTTCACTACTGTGTTCACAACAGACATATTAATTCAATCTACAACATATCAACACATAAACCAAAAAAATGTTCAAAATCATACATACCTAAGTTTTCCAGTTCTCACAGCAGTGAAAATAATAAATGTGGTCCTCTGGGTTGTGATGCAACATCACAACCCAGAAGACAGCAATCAATACGCTAAGTCACACATGCATCTCAGGTCAGGGCCACTTCAGCCATAGGAAATGCTAACAGATTATCATAATCACAAAAAACTTGCACATACAAAGTTACATAAGGGTGTGGTGAACATTTGTCCATATTATACGTCATGGCAATAGGTCAAACTTTTACTTTCTGGTAAAAAGACACAAGATTAAATTATATAAATATAAATTTATATCTCAGTTTTAAGAGTACTCTCTGATATACTCAAATCGTGACTATAACCTACAAATTTATAAATTCCTTGTTTCATATCTGCTGTTTATTTTTAAACCAATAGAGTGCTTGCAGTGTTACAGTGGATAATCTGACAAATGCTTACACACTTAAAGTACTTAACACTGTTCTTCTATCTTGCTCAATTACAGAGTACAGAAACCTACTCTACCAGGATTCGAACCCAGGACAGATTTTCGCGGTTGTTTCCGTTGTTCTTGTAATCTCATCACCGAAAAAAACAACTTATCTGGACACCATTTTTCCAATGAACTTGGTTTTCAAACTAAAGAAATTACCTACAACAGGATTTGAACCCTGGGCAGATTAATCAGGGTTGTGGTTTTGTTTCAATAATCTCCTCACCAAAACAATTTTCAATGGGACTTGAACAAAGAAGTTATCCTGAGGGTTTTGTGATTTTTTAAGCCTTCTACGAAGAGAATGCTAAAATAGGCAACAACAGTTCCCTACTTTCCATTCATGACCACTTTCTTGTCTCATCAAACACAAAAGAAACTAAAACCTCCACCAGTGGAAATAACCATCAAAAACCACACAAACTGGGTGGGCAGGTGGTTGGGTGTCATGACAATTGTTAGCCATTTTAAGGTCAACCACAAGGCCAAGAATCCCTTAATAGCATTACCATGGCAACAAGCTTGATAGACAATGGCTATTACTTATGAAGATAATGATTTAAATGGACTGCAAGGCGAGTGTTCCATCACATCTCACTGTGAGTGACAGTCCGCTTTCATATCCGGTAGCATTATGATGGGAAAGGGAAGGCGGTGAGTAAACCAGTTCTACATCCACTCATTACCACAATCAATGATACTTAATTCTTGATACCAGTCAAACCAGTCAGAAAAAAGGGTGCTCAAACAGCTGAATTCTACTATAAATATGTTTTACTGGTTTTCAGATGTACCGAGGATAAGAAAATGTTCAAGAACAGAAGAACTAGGGTGTAACTGATGATTGTGGATAAAGTCTGTGTGGCTGCAAATACTTGGGGGGGGGGGGGGGGATAAAACAAAGAAACAACAACTAAAACTAAATGAGCAAGAATGTATTTATTATTAGGTATGTATGAACATTAAGAAA